GAACAGGTTTAAACTTACTTTAAGAGCTTTATGTTAGGTTCTTCTTAGATCATTTAAGAAAATACTTTCACATAATCACCAGGAATATTCAGGGTGGGCATGGCAAGCTCAAGGCCCTGAGTTATAACCCCAGCATTGCAACAACAACAAAAGAATCAGGAGTATGCTTTGTAATTCTCATTAAAGTAAATGACCCCGACTTTGCTAGTGCAGTGGTAGAGCTTACTGACTGAATCAGTGCATAAAAATGCACTCCTGCAATGATGAAAGACCCATCGGACTCTGGGGAAGGCTGATGAGACTCAAGTGACACTCAAAACACCCAGTGGCTGCAAACGCAGGCTGGCAGTGGTGGACAATTAAGTCAGGGTAACAGAATGAAATGAGATGACATACAGCTCTGTAGCACACAGTGATCACAGCCGCAGCTAAAACACAGAATAATAACTACATGAAGCCCACCCCAAACATATCAAGTTACATGACATTGAAGAAAGGTTCTCAAAGTTCTGTCTCCTCTCCTTTCATGAGTCATCAGAAGAAAGCAGGTTATGGAAACAATGAAGGTAAAAATGTACTGACATAACTCTTCATAATAAAAAACAGCACATTCTAAATGAGGTTTAAGAAACCTGTAATACTCCTAATTCGTCCCTTAAGAAGGAAATGAAAATAAACATGGCTTCTTGATTTTTTTCACCTTCACAAACAAGAAAAAGGTTCTTGAAAGAAAGAACTTCTAAATTGTTAACCCCCTTATAACTTATCCTTATCAAAAAATATACAACTAAACCTAAATTTATTTAGTATATAATCTTTTGGGGGGGAGGGGAGGGTCAGTAACGGGATTTAAACTCAGGGACTACACCTTGAGCCACTACACCAACCTTTTTTTGTAATGAGTTTTTTCAAGACAGGGTCTCATGAACTATTTGCCCAGGCTGGCCTCCAACCACAATCCTCCTGATCTCTGCCTCCTGAGTAGCAAGGATTACAGGCATGAGTCACCAGCACCCAGCTTTAGTATATAATTGATGTATTTAATCAAATTTATATAGTTGTTATTATATGTTATATGAACACAGGTACGTTAGTTGAGAAAAGAATGTCGTGCAGTTTTTAGATAAGTAGTTATTGTCTGCAGCAAAAGTTCTTACAGTTCTAAAGATGTGCTAGGCACTGGTAATAGAAAAAATTGTCAACATAAGCTGGGTGTGACGGTACACACCTGTAATCCCAGATATAGGGAAGGTGGGGGTGGCAGTGGGAGATCTTGGTCTAAGGCCAGCCCCAGGCAAAAAGTATGAGACCCTATCTGAAAAAAAAACTAAAGTAAAAAGGGCTGGGGGTACAGCTCAAGTGGCAGAGGACCTATGTATCAAACTCTAGTACTACCAAAAACTCTCAAAGAGAAGTATTAAATCTCCCAGTGGTGAGAGGAACACCAACAGCTGAATCCTGCTAGCTCTTTCTTAACTTCTCTATACTTCAGTTCCCTGGCCTATGAAACAGTGCTGAAATCTCACCAGGTTCTAGGAAAATGAAATGTGTTAATGATGTCTAAAGCTCTCAGAATAGTCTGATAACATCTAGTGCTACAGTAAGTGCAAGTAAATACCAAAAAATGTTTAAGGCACTATTGTAGGAACTCAGAATAAGCACAAAAATCCCCTCCCTTTGTGGAGTTTATATTTTAATGGAGAGATTATATTCTAGAATCAAGCAAAAGTTATTTGAGTGATAATCATCCAATTCAGGTACAGATACATAAACTCAGGCAGGCTGAATAACTACTAGAGATTAGGAACCAAAGAGTTTCCACAGGATTCAATTCTAAAAAGGTGATCCAACCAGGTATGGTGGTACATGCCTGTAATCCCAGTACTCAGGAAGCTGATGCAGGAGTCAGGGCCAGCTTAGGCTACATGCATAGCAAGACTCTGAGGACACAGGGAGACAGAGACATCGACAGAAAGACAGGTAATGTGAAACTATGGGGACCAGCTCCTGCTGACTATATCTAAAAGTCACTACAGGATTTACTACATTAAGAAGCCAATTAAATATTCAGAGGTAGCCAGGGATGGTGGCTTACACCTGCAATCCTAGCTACTTGGGAGACTGAGATTGGAAGGATCACAATTCCAGGCTAGCCTGGGTTACACAGCAAAACCCTCATTTTAAAAAAAAAAAAAGGTAAATATTTAGCATCCTGAACATAACCATCACATGGCAGTAAAAGCGCCTCACTGGGCAGCACACTTTTTCCTGCTACATGTGATATCTGCCTCTGCAGGCAGAAACAGGGCCAGTCAACTTAAAAGAATTTGTCTCGCTAAAGATGAGGAAATAAACAGGACCAGCCTCTTCCTTTGGATAATTCAATCATTTACTAAGTATTTGTCCAAAGCAATGGGTCTCAATGCTTTGTGGGGGGCGGGGGGGCACAGGCTGTTTCAAATTAGCATGCCCCTCCCGTGAATACCTGAGCTCCTCCACACTGTCCAATGACCCTGACCTGCTGAGAACCAGTGCCGCCGAAAGTACCGTCAGAATGGAAACACACCGCATTCCTTAAGTGCAGGATGTCTTCAAAGATACATAATAAACCCACTCTCTCACTAAAATTATATTTTTCCTATCACATAATTGTGGGTTTCGCCACCCTTGCTTCAGCGGGCTAGTCTTCAAACCCCTTTTTGTGCAAGTAAGTGAAAACTACAACAGTTATTACAAGTCTCAGAACAGACGGAGGCAAACAAGTCTGCCATTTGATTAGATGAGTCCTGTTACTCTAGCAAAACCTTGCCATGAAGACCCTCTGAGGTCTGAGTTATCCTAGTTGCTTGAATACTCCAGATTGCTAAAGATTTATCTTTTTTTGGGGGGTGTGACTGGAGTTTAAACTCAGGGTTTTGTACTTGCAAAGCAAGCACTCCACTCTACTGCTTGACCCACACATCCATTTTGCTCTGGTTATTTTGGAGATGGGGGTCTGGTGAACTATTTGCTCTTGATGGCCTCAAACCTCAATCCTCTCAATCTCAGCTTCAGCCTCTCAAGTAGCTGTGACTGCAGGTGTGAGCCACCAGCGCCCAGCTGATAACCATGCTCTTTTGAAGTATCCCATCGTCTCTGATTAAGAACAAGTGTTTTCAATTACAAAGGTAATGCAAAATCATTGAAAAATGCTTTAATAATTCAAAAGTGCGTGATGAAAAAAGTCCTTCCCTATCGTTCACCCATTTCCATTCTGTAAAAATAACCACTGGCAAACAATGTGAAGTGTGTCCTTCTAGATCTCTTCCAATATATAAAAATCATAAATTTTATATGTAACACTATACAAACAAGCAGTAAGGTGATATTTCTATACATTCAGTTCAGCAACTTGCTTTTTTACACTGATGGACTAAAACACCTGTTTAAGTTTAAACGTGTTGGTGTAACTTTCTAAACTGTAAATATCACTTATTAATAAAGAATCTTTTTTTTCCTTAAATGAACAACTTCATGCATACACCCTGGCAAACAAGTTTTTCTACAGGAGAACTTAGCTACTTCCAATTTTTTTGAGGGAGGGGTAGGAGCAGTACTGGGGTTTGAACTCAGGGCCTTATGCTTGCTAGACAAGCGCCCTACCATGCAGGAGAGTTTAGAAAACAAAAATGCTGGGTTAAAAGATATATTCTTTAATTGTCCGTGTTTACAATTTTTCTTTTAAAATTTTCCTTTTCTTAAGGACCCAGGCACATCCTTACCAACATTCATTTTTTCTGCTCTGCTGTAGCAGTGGTGATACCCGCAGCCACAGAAATAGATAGCACTCTCCATTTCCATGCTAAATTTCATCTGATTTTGTAACTTTTCACCTTTCCCTTTCTTGTTCCTTTACACTTCCATCACTACACTGCCCACAGAAACTTGAAAGCAAAAAACTTTATTTGCTAAAACTGAGACCAAATGAGACAAGAGATTTTTAATTTACTCATGAGTAAACTTTGTAATTGCTATTTTAGCTTCTCAGAGGACCTTCATTCTTCTAGAGTCTAAAGTCCCCGATCTTAATTTTTGGACAGGTGAAATATCACTGTTAATAATATACTAATAGGCTCCCTATTCATATTCTCATATGAAAAACACTTTGTCTTTAAAAAAAATCAAGAGTCAATAGATGAGTAAACCAGCATCATGTCAGTGTTTCAGTAAACATAACAACAGTACCGGGTCATCATGAAAGTATTACCAGCAACTTTGCAGAGGAAAGGGAGTAGAGATGGTTCTGAGTAGAATGCCTGGACAGCCATGTGCCTGTTTGCGTTGGATTTCTGTCACATGCAATCTGAAGAGTTCCAATCCCTAAAGCTAAAACTGGACAGTCTAGTCTTCAGACTTCAAGCATCATTTTTATGGAGTAAGTTTCAGCAAAATTACTTGTTGAGTTGTGATGTTAGTAATGGTGATTTTGCTATTTGAACAGAATCCTAATTCCATTAGTTTTAAGATTAAAGTTTTCATCTAAAATCTTATCTTCTTCACACACATACTAAAATCATCTCCATCAGGAAGATGTGTCTGATTTTAGACAGAAACTCAGCTCAGTACAATTTCAACTCCTAAGTCTTAGAAACTTAAGAAATGAGAAACTATGAAAAAAAACCAATCAGTGTTTTAGAGAGATTACTACAGCAAAAAGTTACAGGGAAATAAAAATGTAAACCACAGAATAATACCCAGGTATTGCTTTTTCTGGCATTTCATTCCCAGATTTTAGGATTTTAAACATATTTCTGCAATGAAATCTCTCATGATCCTGCCAGCCAATGTTCCTTCCTTGTAGCAATAGACAATGATTTGATTAAATCGATCATTAAAACAAACCACTTACTTAATTCAATCTAATTCTTATGAAAACAGAATTTAAACTATGGAATACCATACAATATTACGCTTATCAAACATGCAATTTCACTTCTACAAACTGAAACAAATTAACTCACCTCAACTGTTTTGCATAGTTCTGTTCAATTTCTATCCTCTCTTTAACAAATTTGGCATATCTTTCCAAGAAGTCAATTCCCCATTGTGTATGCTTGTCTAAGCTGTCGAACTGATCCTAGAAAAAGAAAGTAAAAATGCATTGAAAAAGTCTGGAATTTTATCCACAAACATTTCAAGCAGCTTCTGATAGTTGTACAGAGAAGCAATGAGGTATAAAACTAAAAATCTGGTCCCCACCCACCTCACCCTTCAAGGCCCACAAATGAATTCCTAAGCAAAAATCATGGTACTTTATGACTGAATGCCTTTACCCACATGGTTCTCCTGGTTTCAACACTTTCCCCTGGCTACCTTTCTGCAATTAACTCTTATTCTCACTTTGAGATTCAGTTCTGGCATTATGCCCTCCAGAAAATGGTCCTAACCTCTCAGACTAAGATAAACAGTCTTTCTCTAAGTGCCCAAGACTCCCTAAAATTACTATCGTATCCACTTGCCAGACTGTACTGAAGGGAGGAACTGTGTATTATTCAACTCTAAATACCATGCTTGACACCACAGTAAGGACTCAATAGCCAGGTGCCAGTGGCTCACACCTGTAATCCTAACTACTCAAGAGGCACAGATCAGTAGGACTGTGGTTCAAAGCCAGTCAGGGTAAATAGTTCATGGGACCCTACCTTGAAAATACCAAACACCAAACAGGACTACAGGCCTGGCCCCCAGTACCACCATAAAGAAATAAACAAATATAAACAAAAATAAACAAATAAGGAGCAGCATCGCTCACCTAAGAACGCATGTTATTAAAGTGTTCTGCAATGTAGTAAGCATGATGCTAACACATAATAGAGTCTCACTGTCCTACAAAGCTCTTTCAATCCTCAAAAGTATTACTTTCCACCAGATGCCAGAGACCATCATTTCCTTCTGGAATAATAAATTGACTAACAGCTTGCTGCTCTCTCTTCATATATCAAAAATCTACAATCCTGACAAAATATTTCAATATCATTCCATTCTGTGTTTCCAAGTTGTTTTAAATCACCCATGGTTTAATCATGTTTGTTCTTTACAAATGAATCATTTCCCTTTCATTTATCCATTTTTCCATCTGAAATAGTTTTGAAATTCTGCTACTGAACAGAGATATATTTCACCAGGTTATTACTGCATGGTATTACTAGTCTATTCTCCCCACCTGGCATCCAAAGTAGATTTGAACACATCAGGAAAATAAGCTACTCAGTAAACTTAGACTGCATACTATGTCCCATGATGACTTGGAATTCTCTTTCAAATTGAAAATCTCCCAAAAAAAATAATTCCAAAAAGAATAAATACTCCAAAACCTAAATAATCTTCCTTCTTTTTTCCAAACTACTTCAAAGGCTTCTTTTCCCATAATCATCATCTTCAAATTTTATATTGTGTTTCTTTATCCTTTAAATGAAAACTCCAAACTTGTTTATTACAAGTCCCTTCAAAAAAAAAAAAACTCTGAACAAATACTTCTACTGTGTGTGTGTATATATATATAAATCAAGTGATATACTATTAAATTATGTCATTTTGAAATCTATAAGAATAGAAATGTTATAATGAGATAAAAATAAACATTTTTTATAAATTTTTATTAGGATATATTCATTATACGGGGTGGGAGGATTCATAGTGACAACTCCGATTAGGCTTATATTGTACACTAGTTACATCGCCCCCATTATCTCTCCCCCTCACCCCCCTCCCCACCCAACTTAAAGCAATTGCAAGAGGTTTCTTTGTTCTGTTTCATATAGAAACATTACTTTAAAATAATGCTTTACTTATTTAAAATACTTGGGATATGACTTTATTTTTTATTGTGATTCTATTTTCCCTTTTCTTTTTTCTTTTTTATAAGTAAATATTAATTTTTAAAAGGGTTTTCATTGTGGTATTTCCCTATGAGCACATAATATATAGTGATCGAATTCACCCCATTGCTCTTCCTTATGCCTCCTCCCTCTCTCCCTCTCCTTTTTAAACTATGACTTAAAAGGGACTCATAGTCCTTTTTTGGACTATGACTTAAAAATATTAATAACAATACTTTTTACAAGAACAATCAATCAAATGTGCTTCATTATTTCTAAAACCTTAGTTTAACAGTTGCTAAATAAAAATTACAGAGGCAATTTGTACTAAGCTATTACACTAAGCACCAATGGATCAGACCAACCAAAATGAAGTCACTCATGCTAAATGACATATAATAAAACTGAAGCTTTAAGGAAGCAGACAGATACCAAAACAAATCAGTTGTTCATGAAAATGAACCAAGATCAGCATAATGACAAGTCTCTGCTGCCTTACCCCTTACAAAAAAAGTAAACTGAAGTAACCTGCTATTAATCAGTTATTTTTACTGCTGATTCCCTTCTTATAAAACCCAGTGTTCCAATCCTGCCCAGTGGGAGCTCTCATTCACTTTGTAGAATAGTCTGCCTTTATCCATGAATCATGAGTGAAAGTCAACATGCTCTATAACTACAATTGCTGTAATTTTACTTTTTGACACAACATAATCTGAAGGTCATGGTTCTAAACAGTGATGCTTATTTTTCAGTGGCTGTCATAGCTAGGGAAACAAAAGACACCTGAATGGAAAAAGTCACTGTTGACTAAACTTTGTAACTCATTTCTAGAATTCACTCATTTTTATCAGGTATGGCAGTTCACTCCTCTGGCCCAGCTACTCAGGCCTAGCCATAGATTAGGAGGATCAGGGTCCAAGGCTAGCTCTAGATAAAAGCTTAAGACCCTCTCTGGAAAACAACTAAACCAAAAAGGGCTGGGGGTGTTGTTCAAGGGGTAGAATACCTGTCTAGTAAGTACAAGGCCCTGAATTCAAACCCCAGTAATGCCCCAAAAAAAGAAAGAACTCATTGATTTTCACCCTCATTCACCAATATAGAAAGGTTTATGTTAAAATTTGGTTATAAACTTCCTTGAAATCATTTTATTTTTACAAACTAACGAGAATATATCTCAACTTTGTTTTGAACAAATGGGTAAAACTGTCATTGTTAATTTTAACTGTTAACTTGGCTCAGTCACAGTGTTCAGATATTTATTTGGTCAACCATTATTCTTGATGCTACTTAAAGGTGTTAATATTTAAAAAGATGAATTTTGATTAAAGTAGATTATCATCCAAACTGTGGGTGGGACTCATCCAATCAGCTGAAGGCCTTCATAGAACAAAAACTGACCCTTCCCCCAGCAAGAAGGAAAGCTGCCTACAGGCTGTCTTTGGTTTGGAACCCACTCTCTTCCCTGGACTCCCATGTCTCCATAATCACATAAACCAATTCTCTAAAACAAATCTCTCTAGGGTACAGTCACCACCAGCTCCTCACTGCCCTGCACACCATGCGTTCCAAGTCTGAGGAGCTAATGTCACAATGGTACACGTCAGGGGCAAGAATCAAGAGAAGACTGAAAAACAGGCCCAGGAAAGCAAAGAACGGAGAGAAAGACTGACCTTTGTGAGAAGATAAGGAAGGGACAAGCTCACCAACCTGGCCTCATCTTCGACAGGCCATACCCAAGAGGCAGATAAAGGACAGGATGGGTGAAGATGGACATACCATGGCATGGTCATGGAGGATATGAGAAGTCAGGAGAAAATGGGAGCTGTGGTTGAGTAACTGTCTGTGTGTTCTTATGGGGGGCTCCACAGTCTCCAGGACCACCAGGATGAATTCTGCGTTATACCTTGACTTCTGCTAAGTCCCATGAGAGTAAAATGTGGTTTCCACTGTTTTCCTTTTCCTTACATTTTTCCTGACCCATTTACATGAACCTATGCTATTCTCATGTGTCAGCTGGGTCTTGTATTGCCAGCTCTTAAGCTGGAGATCACCTTTGCACCCAGTCTGTCCCTGTCAACAGTTGAGTTTCACCCATTTGCACGGAAAAAGGTAAAGTTAATAAAGCAATTAAACAGCAAAATACACACACAAAATCTCTCTATAAATGTGTGTGTGCATCCTGTTGATTCTGCTTATCTACAGACCACTGACTAAAACACTCACCCTAAAACAAGGTTTAAACAAAATTTACAGGAGGCCATTGCTCTGGACTAAACTCCTGCACTTCATCCCAACAGACCAAATTAAACTGGACTCACTCATGCTCAAGTTCCACATCCATCATGCCGAAAGTAAACTGTTATCTGACTTGAGAAAATAGCCAAAACCCCCAACCAGACCAGTTCTAACCTGTGCAAGGAAGTCTCCTCTGCTGCAACCTTTGTAAGGAAAGGAACTTTGAAACAACCAACCTGCTATTTTGTTTCTGCTTTCCTCAGCCCTTTTGTCTATAAACCCACCTCCTTGGTGCAATTCCAGAATGGCTAATATGGCCTATTATGATCTTTAAGCTAATTTGTAATTTTGTCTTTTGAATAAGAAATTTGCTTCTAAGCGTTTACTCAGACATAATGTTTGTGTGTGGCATAGACAAATGTCAGCAATGAAGTGACATGAGGGACACATTCAGCATCCAAATGCTTTCTATATATTTGAAACTACTCTGAAAAAGCAACTGCTTGCTAAGCATTAGAACTTCCCTTTTATCTTCCAAAGAGACAGATTACAGTTTCTCAAAACTACTGGCGAGGTAAGCATGGGTATTACTGACAGCCACTTACTAAAGAAAAGGTCAACAAATCTGAAACATCTGAGGAAGAAAGAGCAAATCTGTGAGAAACAAAGTTATTAATTGTCCCTCCCTATTTCAGTAGGAAACACTGTGAACAGCCTGTCTTCTGTACTGTAATGGTATTATTTCTATGAAATTGGCCATAATAAAAATATACCTCAATACTCTAGACTCATGGCATTAATTTTGTTCACCTATAAATGAAGTGAATACATTTCGACATTATTCCAATCTCCTTTTTAAAATTCTAGTCAACATACTGCTTTATCAGTAGCTATTATATTTTTTTAAAAACAAAATATTGTTCTTGTTAAAGTCATTTATTATTGAGATTAAATCTTCCACACATCTCTCCTTTCATAGTTCACAAAAGTGGTTCTAAATATACTTCATTATTAAGACAACCTA